ATCTTCTGCCTCGAGGCATTTCACTTTCGATTGATGATACATACTGCTTACAACTATAAACATCAGTAGCACATATCACGATATGAATACTAATAATATTCCTTATCATTTGTGTATACAAGTTATGGTTTGTAATAATTTATACTTCATTCATTATAATCACTTATCAACAAATCCTATTAATTCCTAATTTTGAGTTATTATTACTTCGAATGTTATACTTGATAGTTTAACCTTCTAAATTCTAGAAGATGACTATAAAGGTAAATAGAGACTTATTTTTCTTTACTAAATTGTTTAAATTAAAGGTTGACAATCTTCGAACATATTAAACAGTATGAATGTTAGTATTGTATGATGAATTTTGTACAGAACTATCAAGATTATTAGGTTAAATAGTCTAGTTACTGATCTGTATCTATTTAGCTTGGAGATTCTTCTATTCAATAAATCTAATCTTAAGTTTTTCTTCAAATTTTTCTTAATAGAACTGTCAGTTTATGATATGTTACTGACAATGAATAGGCATGTAACTGTCATTAATCTATTATGTAAAAGATGACTTATTAAACACATGAAAACAAAAAGATTTTGTAATGTACATACATAGTTTTCTTCATGTGTTTTTTTCTTTTAAAAAGGTCATTATCGTGTACTTTTTTAGACTTTTGTATGCTATAAGCATTTAACTGAACGATATTTTAACAATGAAATGATCTTTTGTTCTTTGAAAGATGTAGAGTAGATTTGTAAGTAGGTAAAGATTTCTTCTGAAGCTAACATTTGTTTCTAATATTTTATTACATCATATTTGAAATTACAGACTTGGCAGTTTATCATAATGATCATGAATGTTGTTAAATAAACAAAATTGATATTGAATATTGACCAAGTCTTATATTTTTACGTAAACTTATAATTATATCATGGTTACAAAAGATAATGAAAGAAACTATAAGCACTTTTAAATGTTGGAATGTAAAGGTTGTAGATAATGGCATCTTGATTGAAACATCTGTCTTTATTACATTTTACTTAATATATGTATTTTGTGGTCATTTTGTATGATCCATGACTTAACTTTCTTGACCGTCCTAAGATATTTTGTGAATTTAAAATGCCTGAACTGTTTTAAAAAAGTTTTCTAAGAGTTTTTAAAGCAGAACAAGTGATATTGGAATATTTTCTACAGACGTTTTAAAACGTTTGTTTTGTATAATTGTACTATCCTATAAACTAAAAATGGTATTTTTCATGGTGAGAAAGAATTATATCTAACAGTCAAATATTTATTCACTGGACTGTGATCAACCTAGGAAAAATTTTTCAAGAATTTTATATAACATCTTATCATTTTTTTAATTTCGTGTTAATAATTTGTCTCTAAGTATTTCAGTATAGGGGTTGTGAAGATTAAGTTTTTGAATGAGATCATGAACTGATTGATGTTAGACCACCATCCAGCAGGTTGAGCGTGCGCGCGCGAGACTGAAGGCCCTGGATTGGAATCCCGTGAGCGGGATCGTGGATGTGCACTGCTGAGGAGCCCGACAGTAGGACGAAATGGTCGTCCAGTGCTTCCGGGTTTTCATCATCAATCGGTTCATGATCTCAATCTAAGTATTTCATTTTATCGAACTAAAGTGTATTCTTCCTATAAGAGATCATGTTTTATTTTACACCAGTTTGAGTCAATAAACTGCTATTAGTGAGTATCTGTTATTTAGTCACATCACGTCATAACTTCCATCTCTCAATAGTTATTCTGTTCATTCACTCAACAATCTTTAAATACTTTTTCATTACAAATCATTATACTCTTACTTCATAACAATATTTTTTGCATTTTAGGTTATTAGCATTTTTAATCTGAAACAGATCTCTAATGAAAAGTTTTAGTTGTTAATTGAACAGTTTTATAGATCTGAAATTTCGCTGTTAAGTAAGTATCAGGAGTATTAAATAATATTAAAGTTTCGATAATGCAATGAGAAGACAAAGGTCTTAAGAATCATATGATGTATTTGCGTGATACATTTTGAACAATCTGATCACATATATATAGACATTTTGATATCAGAATGGGTTTTGTGGATATTATAATAATTTTTAATGGTTGAGATCATGAGTCAAATGAAGCTATATGAAAACTAAAAGGTCAACTAGAGAGGTTAAAGGTAAGCCGTAACAAAGAAAATTAAAGTATACAAAAACAACGTGTTAACACCACTATGGATATTAAATCTGTATTACTAGGGTAGGTTAAAGGTAAAACCTTAGTATACACCCTTGAAGGCTTTCGTACAACACTACAAATGCTAACTTGATATCAATCTTATGACCAGTCTCAATCAAATGTTTCGCAATGGAGGATGTCTGTCTATCCTGTGATCTTATTTGACCATTGCAATTCATTTGTTTCTGCAGCCATTTGGGTATGTGTTCCGCCACTCTTTTTTACAGATCACGATTGCTCTCCTCCATGTACGTGTTCCCGCACATACATGTAAATTAATAGACACAATGGGATGTGACACAGTCGCTTACATGCTGTTCAGGTTTTTGGTGAAACGTAAGCCTTGTCTAATTTTAAGCAAAGATAGATAGTGGTTAACAGTGGAATCAAGAATGTGCGTTTCATTCTGTTTGGGACTTGTTAGTTGGATGCACCTGCATTGCAGAGTTGATTTTTACTCTGAAACTCGATCCCAGTACCGTTCGCTTCAAGCGCCATCGCGTTATCCACTTAGCCACTGAGTTCTGATAGCCACCTGCTTGTGCAATATGGTGAGTTTTAAAACCACTTGATGTTGCTTTACATGTATCTTCCCATTGTTTGAAGCGAACGGTACTGAATCCAAGTTCCAGGGTGAACATAAACTCTGAGATGCAGGTACATTCTGCTGACGAGTCTCAAATAAGACGAAATGCACGTCCTGGATTTCACTGCTAGCCACTATCCATCTTTATCTAAAAAGCTTGTGGCTTAAGGCTATATCAAGGCCGTCCGCACAGGATGTACATATGCCAACAAGAGACTGATCAATTACAGTCCTAAATAACAATGGGAAGATACAAGTAAAACAACACCAAGTGAACTTGTCTAAATTCGCTTGGTATTATTTACATGAATCTTTCCTTGTCTTTTCAATAATGACAATTTGGGCTGCATAAAATATCCTGTTGATGGCTAATTTAAGTCCACGTTTCAACATGATGTAAACTCGCTTTTTGGGTGCCAGAAGCGTCATAGGTCTAACTGTATTGCAAGCCTTCAAGCAGTTTATGAATTTCAATGAATAACTACTATTCATTAGCGTTTCAGTCAAAAGCTTCCTCTCTACTTCAATAGTATCGCTAGTACAAATATGATTGATTCTATTCAGTAAGCCCTTTATTAATTCACGTTTGTAGTGAGTTGGGCAGTGACTATGGAAATTAAGATATCGCCCTGTCCATGTTGGTTTTCTATATGCAGAACGTTGGATGGAACTATCATTTCTCTTACTAATCAGTATGTCTAGAAAAAGAAGTTGGTTATTCTTCTCTTCTTCGCATGTAAGAGAAATATGCTTTTGACTTGCGTTGAGTTGTATTAATATTAAAGCCAACAATCAGAATATAACAACACTTTAATGTTTTCATTTTGGTACACAAAAGTAAAAAAAAGTAAAATACTTATAATCAATAGTTTTTCTTCAATAAACAATAATCCGAAGTAGATAATTATTCGAAATTATACTGACTTGTGGTGAAACTACTTGTGCCAATAGAAGCAAGCAACTACTTTTCTGCAAGATTCACTCTGAATGTATTTTGAGAAGTTTATAAGTCAAGAACTAATTATTGCATAGTTGAGTGTTGACTTTCGCAGCAAAATGCTAGATTCCAAAAATCATTGCTTTAATACCTTATAACGGATCCATTCATAAATATATGAAGAAAAAGATGGAACTCATGTTAGAGACATCAATTGTCGGCACTTATATAAGTCTTAAAAGCTTCCAATTCATATTGATTGAAATAAAACTTAATCAAATGGAAAATGAGTATTAGGTTAAACACTTGATATTATAATCAGAATGGGTTTTGTGGAGATTTTTAGAAATTTCACAGATTGTAATCATGAGTCAGTTGAAGCTTGATATTATAGTAAGACGTTATCTAATTTTCATACAATAGGTATTCCTATAATCTGTTTTTCTCATAACAGATATTAATGATTTGAAAAATACTTAACCTCTATAACATTAACTCATATATTCTAATGTGAAAATTATCTGTTCGATCACTCCTAGTTTACTCAACTTTATTTCCAGTACTCTAACCATGAACCGTAAAATCACGTCCAATGACGATTGACACTTCACATTGGACCACAAATCCATATGTATTCAGTTGAGATTCGACCATTCATGGAATGCAATAATCTCTTTTTAAATACTAAATTAATCATCTTTTCCACTCACTGCTCAAATCCGATATGTAGAAACACCATGTTATGTCATTCGTGACTATTTATGAAGAGTGAGATTATCTCACTTTAAATATACTCTCTATGTGAATTACTTCATATATACATGGTTCTATGGAATAAGTTACCACAAGCTAACTGTGAAACAAAATCACAACCATTGTTTTTATTCACTTGGTGTTGTTTACTTGTATCTTCCCATTTTTATTTAGGACTGCAATTAATCAGTCCCTTGTTTGAAGCAAACAGTACTGTATTCGAGTCCCAGAGTGAACATAATCTTTGAGATGCAGGTACATCCAGCTGACGAGTGTCAAATAGGATGAAACGCGCATCCTGGATTCCACTGCTAATCACTATCCATCATTGTTTTTATATTCATTAGTGATGATCACTACTATTATATTGTCTTTAAAAAGAAGATATTTATGCATTTTAATTGTGAAGTTATACGTATAAACTCAAAACTGTTCAAGACAAGATTGTACTAACTGTCTTTATGTTTTATTTTTACAATCACTTTTAGGTTTGTAAAAATGATTCAGGTAAAGAAGCATCAAATAGACGAAGAAGAGAGTTTCAAACAAACTATTTAAATCAACATAATAGGGATACAAATTCACATCAAACATATGTAGATGAACGTAGATCAAAACGTGTAAGACGTTTAATACGTAAATTAAGTTTAACAGCTAATGGTTATCATTGTGAATGGAATCGTCATGAATATATGGTTAGTGATCATTGTACATGTGGATGTGAACAATCATCAATGAATTCTAATTGAGAATAAATAAAAGTAATGATATAATAATAAAAAAGAATCATTTACTTTTCCTGAAGCTTTTTTAGATTTTTTTCTCTTCAACAAGTTCATTACATAATGCTTTTCTTTTTATTTATTTCTTAGTGGTTTTTTTTCTGAAGTTATATACATATGTATGTGAAATAGTTTTAGCCGGCTTTCTTGGTGTTTTTCTCTACTCATTCTTCTCACTATTATTATTATTAACCAGTTAAATTAACTTTTAGCTTATGAAATCCCTTTTGAAATATACATCATTCTTTTAGGAAAAAAAAAGAAAGAAAGAAATCACTATATCTACCTCTTTACTGAACAATAAACTAAAATGTTGAATGTTCATTGAATTTTTATTTGCATGCATTTAAAATTCCTTTCACTTAATATTACTAAACTATATATTGAATGAAAAAAAGAAAGAAAAGAGAAAAAAGGAGAAAAAAGAAAAAAAGAAAAGTAATAACAATACCATAATGTTAATGTTATATAATTATATAAAGATTTAACCATGTCATTAAAGTACATAAAATTGTCATGTTCATTTTATACACTTTCCATATTATTGATGAATAAATTTTTTTTGTTTATTTGTGTTGTGCTGTTTTTTCTTTTCTTTTTTTTTCTTTTTTTAAAAAAAAAGTGTATATGAGTATCTCAGATAAAAATAAAATAAAATTCACATAAACTTTGCTTATAATAAATTTCATTTTGAAAAACAAAAAAAGGTTTCTCAATTTCTTGTTCTTGTTGTTGTTATTATTGTTGATATTATGAGGGTTTGTAATTGAGTAGTTTATTTTAGTATCTTTGTGTATTATTAAAGGGTTGTTTAGAAATAATCAATGATTTATATATTAAAATTTCAATATAAATCGTTATAAAATAAAATTGATCCATGTTATATATGAAATATTGACTGTGTGAATTTAGTAATTCAGTGGATGATATATTTTCATATACATAGTTCCTTTTATCAGTTTAAAATGAGCAAGAACAAAGATACTAGTAGAATAGCATGAATTCATTTATAGGGTTAGTGAAATGTCAGTGAGTCTTAGCCAAATCATCCGGCAGTTGGGGGTTACTGAGTACTGACTAGATCATCGATCCATATCAAAGTCAAAGACAACCAACTCTCAACATTTGAATGTATGCTATGGATTGACCGATGCGGTGGTGGTCTTTCTGTCTTCTCTGTACTCATTTTTATTAATATATTTCCATAACAACGTTCTTTGTGTTATGCGGTCTTCAAAGCAATCATAGTAGTTTGATACGTCGTAGGAGTAATCCACGTTAGATGCTGATCGTGAGGTGTGACTTCGAAATTAGCTGGTTTGTCACACTATTCCTCTCTAACTTGAGTAGGTCCCCAACCATTCAGCATAGATAAACCAAGTTAGTGATCTACAAATTTTATTTTGTTCATTCTCGTCAGCTGCTTACAATCTGTTATGTTTAAAAATCATAATTACAAAATGAGTTTAAATTACGTACATGAAAGCGTTTAGTTGGAAGTTATATTGAAGACACATTGGTGTAGTATAGCAAGGGTGTAAATAAATTTAATAGACTGAATATTGTAAATATACACCTTATGTAAAAGATATTCTACAACATTGATTGTGACAACAGTTCAAAGGGTCAGAAACAAGTGATTACATAGTGAGTAAAGGTCGAATAGAGCTCAGTTGATAAAATAGGATGACTAATACGGAAGATAGTTGGAATGAAAAACTCAATGATGTAATAAATGCAAGAAAGAGATAAAAAATTTAAAAAAAAGTTTTAGATGAAACGAAAGATTATTTATCATCAAAGCAAGGAAAGATTAATAACCATCTTTTGAACACATAAGTCAGGTTGATAACAACGACTTCAGCAAACTTCATAAGACGAGTTTGGCTGCTTACTAATCACCTTGAAAGATTGCAAGGTATCAACCTGATATATTGTATTCAAGTGATATTTGGTAATTGCATTGTTTAGAGTCTTTCTTTTTCTTGTTCGGAGGCTTTTCGGAACATGCTCAAAAAAGTCTAAGATATGTCCACCTTTACGTATTTACTGATTGGATTCAAGTCTCTGTGTGAATGTCAATACTGGAAAGTAAGTAAACCTACATGACGAGTCCAAAATAGGAAGAAACATAGATCTTGTATTTCATAGAAGGCTACTGATTTTAGCAAAAGTTTCTTACAGCTGATAATCTTCGGTGTTGCACAAAAGTATAAAAATTAATTATATTGAAAGTGAAGTTACCAGGTACATTAATTTATAGTCGATATTCTGTTAGTATTTTCTACCGTAAGTTTTAGATTAATGTTAAGGTTATCTTCGTTAAGTACTTTGTTGAAATATTAAAATTGAAATATCACCTACATCATCTATTACCTGTTGAAAAAAAAACAATGAGAGAGGCGACCAGATTAGTAATTACACTGCAACTTGGTTGATATAATTCGATTAGCACTTAACAAAGTAGGATGACATAATATTGTTGATTACTCAATAAGTTGTTAGTTGTTACAGTCGTAGTTCGAATTGCTCAGTAATATCATCTCAGTCTCTGAAGTTCAGTAATACATATTCAAACAGCATAGAAACAATCAGTTCTATCTAAATTACAGGATGGGTACCGAATAGTATGAAAACTATAATTACCTTTCCCTTCCAACTACATCCAACAGTATAAACTTGATGAATCCAATGTTGGTTAGTTTGTATAAATAGTCAGAAAGGGTTTTGTGGAGTAATTTCAGTAGTTGAGATCATGAACTTATTGAAGCCAGATCATCAAGGAAGACCCGGAAGCACTGGAATACCGTTTCGTCCTATTGTGGGACTCCTCAGCAGTGCGCATCCACGACCTTGCTTCGTGGGATTCGAACTCAGGACCTGTTAGTCTCGCGTGCGAACGCTTATTATTAAGTTATTTGCTAATTAAGCATATTCTATAATTTTTCGATCAATAAATGAGAGATTTTTGTTTTTATTTACAATATTTATGAATGTATGAATCACTTTTATTATAAGTAATTGACTACAGAATCCCATTAGTAAACAATAATAGAAATATATTTGATTGTAATAAACAGGTGTATCTTTGTTTAATTAACATTGAAACTATTGTTATAGTGTTAATTGTTTTGTAATTACGGTTCTTTCTGTTAGCAGTTGTTTAGATAAAAATATATTTAACAGAATATCATTACAATAGTTGAGACCATGAGTCAATTGATACTAGACCACCGTGGGAAACCTAGAAGCACTGGACGGCCGTTTCGTTCTAGTGTGAGGCTCTTCAGCAGAGCGCATCCACGATCCTGCTCGCGGGATTCGAACCCAGGAATATCATTAAATATATTGGATAAAATTCTTCATGTAAATATATAGACTTTAGGAGACATGAGATCATGAGTTAAGTTGTTTGTCATTTAGTACTGATTCATTCTACACAAAAGTTATATCTACAATAAGTAGTTTACTGATTAGTTACTTACTTACGTCTGTTACTCCTCGTGAAGGAGCATAGGCCGCTCACCAGCATTCTCCATCCAACCCTGTCCTGCGCAATCCTTTCCAGCTCCTTCCAGTTGCTGTTCATCCTTTTCATATCTGCTTCTATTATCCGACGTAATGTGTTCTTAGGCCTTCCTCTTTTCCGCTTCCCTTCAGGATTCCAAGTTAGTGCTTGTCTCGTGATGCAGTTTGCAGATTTGCGTAATGTATATTCTATCCATTTCCATCGTTTTTTCCTAATTTCCTTTCCAGTTGGAAGCTGATTTGTTCTCTCCCACAAAAGGCTGTTGCTGATGGTATCCGGCCAATGGATGTTGAGTATCTTGCGTAGACAGCTATTTATAAATACTTGTACCTTCTTGATGATGGTTGTTGTAGTTCTCCAAGTTTCAGCTCCATACAGTAGAACTGCCTTGACGTTGGTATTGAAGATTCTCACTTTGATATTGGTTGAAAGTTGTTTTGAGTTCCATATGTTCTTTAACTGTAGGAATGCTGTCTTTGCTTTGCCAATCCTTGCCTTTACGTCTGCATCTGAACCTACTTGTTCATCGATGATACTTCCTAGGTATGTGACAGACTCTATATTTTCAAGAGTTTCGCCATCAAGAGTGATTGGATTGCTGTTCTCCGCCTTGAATTTTAGGACCTTGGTTTTCCCTTTGTGTATGCTGAGGCATACTGATGCAGAGACTGCTGCCATACTGGCTGTCTTTATCTGTATCTGTTCGTGAGTATGCGATAGGAGGGCTAGGTCATCTGCGAAGTCCAAATCGTCTAATTGATTTTGAGCTGTCCATTGTATTCCGTGTCTTCCTTCAGATGTCGAGGTCTTCATAATCCAATCGACCACCAGAAGAAAAAGAAAGGGACAGAGTAAACAGCCTTGTCTGACTCCGGTCCTTACTTGGAATGCATCTGTCAGCTGTCCTCCATGCACGACTTTGCATTGTAGTGCGTCAGATGAGTTCTGGATAATATTGACAATCTTCTCAGGAACTCCGTAGTGTCGAAGAAGTTTCCATAATGTCCTCCTATCTACACTGTCGAATGCTTTTTCATAATCAATGAAGTTGATGTACAGTGATGAGTTCCACTCAACTGATCGTTCGACGATGATCCGTAGTGTTGCAATTTGGTCTGTACACGACCGATCCTAACGGAATCCAGCTTGTTGATCTCAAAGTTAGGCCCCTACTGCATCCTTCATCCGGTTCAGCAACACTCTGTTGAAGACTTTACCTGGTATTGACAGCAGTGTAATGCCTCTGTAGTTTTCGCATTTGCTCAGATCTCCTTTCTTTGGAATCTTGACGAGGTGGCCTTCTTTCCAGTCCATCGGTACTTGTTTCTCCTCCCAAATCTTTTTGAATAGAAGGTAAAGCATGTTTGTAGTTACTTCGATGTCTGACTTCAGTACTTCAGCTGGTATGTTGTCGGGTCTTACTGCTTTCCCGTTCTTGATTTGTCTGACGGCCATTCTGATTTCTTCCTTCGTTGGTGGATTGACGTCGATGGGAAGATCTATGTGTGCTGCTTCGATGTCCAGTGGATTCATTGGAGCCGGCCTATTCAGGAGTTCCTGGAAGTGCTCTACCAATCTGTTCCGCTGTTGTTGAATTTCAGTGATTGGCCTGCCTTCTTTTTCTTTACCCGGTCTTCCTGGTTTACTATATTTCCCTGCTAGTTTCTTCGTTGTATCGTGAAGCTGTTTCATATTTTCTTCTCTAGCAGCTTTTTCTGCCGTCGTTGCTAGTTCTTCCACGTATTTCTTCTTGTCGGCTCTAATGCTCCTCTTCACTTGTTTGTTTGCTTCTATGTATTCAACTTGTGCTTGGACTTTCTCTGCTCGTGTTCGGCTGTTGTTTATTGCTGCCTTCTTGTTC